TTTGAGAGCGGTTAGACTGGAGAGTAGGTAATGAAAGTAGGGGAAGACATGTGGCAAAGGTCATCAGGCCAGGACTCATACCCGTGACGTCCACTTTGAGAACTAAGGTCTCATACATGGGTTGTGCTTTTCCCACAGCAAAAGCACAACCTGCAACTTTTAGATGTGTCCCTTGTCCTTCACTTTAATTAAATGGTAAAACTGCTTCTCTATCATGCAGTCTAGAGCTACATTAGTTAATGAGCTAATGTTGGAGCCAGGTGTGCTGAAGCAGAGAGGCATCCAAAAGTTGCAGGACACGGACTCTCAACGACTATCCTAGACCTTGGTAACCGTCAGCTTCTGGTGAAAATAGTGTAATGTGTAGTGTAACATGGATGACAAAAGAACAATTTAATAATATTCACATTAAAAAATAACTTTAATTTTACATTTTTGAGTTACTCAGCATCCTCAGTGACACATAGTCTAAGCAAACACAAGGAAATACATCTGTCCAAAACTGTCAAAATGGACAAGAAAGGAAGAAACATTTATGTACATCATCTATAACACTTTGCATCTTGAAATCTGGGAAGAATTTAAACCCTTCCAGTCCTCTTTCGGTATGCTGCGACTGTCCAACAATTAATTACCAGTCATATAGTACATGTTTATATGATGGGACTTGGTGAGCTGTTAGCCTTTGTCTTTTGTTTTTTTCTTCTTTTTGTCTGTGGTGCTGCTGGTGGGCGGAGGAGGGATCACAGGTGGAGCTCCCAGTTTTTTTGTTTTGGCCTTTTTCACTTTCTCCTTGATGGCTGCTATGTCCAGTTTTCCTTCTGTGGGAGCTGTGACACAAACACTCAGGTGGTTAATCAGGACTTTACAGTCACCTTACAGAGATAGGTCCTCTGATCTCAGCTACCTTTAGCCGTCTTCATTAATGGCTTCTCTTTGGGAGGAATGAAGGCTTTGTTCCGCTCTTCTTGCTTCTTGGTCAGCGCTTCTGCTTGTTTGACCTGAAAAAAGAACAAACACTATTGTTGCATTTCTTCAGGGTGATGCAACTTTACTTCATATGTTTCAGTTCTTTTTTTTAGCAAATACTTAAGGAAGTCTCTTTCACATGAAAGTGGCTACATTTAAGCAACAGAAAAAAAACCTAACAAATGCTTACCTTAATTTCCCCCATCTTCTTCCTCCTTTTCACACTTTCACGCAAAAAGAATTCACCCGAGGCAAGCTCCTGATCAACCTGTGATGGAATCCAAGCAGTTAAAGTTACAAATTTATCTCAATGTGACATAAATTAGATAAAAGACAGACATTAGGTCAGTTAGATAATAAGACAAATGCACATAGGAGGTGTGATGATATCAAGGTAGTTGCAAATCCCTTTTTTTCACATGCCAACGCCACCTGACCTTGCTTTCAGGCTGTGGAGGAGGGAACGGGGTGTACTCCTTCTTCACACTCTTCTTCTTGGGTTCCTTGCGCTTGGAGAGGTTCTTGTGGCGGAACTTGGGCAGGAAGCGTTCCCAGTTCTGCATCCGCAGGTCTGGGTCTTTAGAAAGCTCCTGTTTGATCATCAACGTCTGACGGTTCAGGCAGTAAGAAAGAGAAAGTTAGAGCGTTGACTGATGGAACAGAAGAGTAAAAGCTATAGAATGGATAATTAATGGTGTACTCTTTCAATGACCAATGTTAATGGCATTTCTGACAATTGTAAATATTTCCAAAACATAATTTTTTATGCCCTCAGCTCCAGGTTGAGCCAGCCATGGCATTCAAACCCAGAGGGATTTGTTTCCATCAGGAAATCAAGAACAAGGATGGAGAAACTCTTCATTGGACATGAATGTCAGACTTTTTACCCTTAAATAGGAAGCTGTGTCGGAGAGCAGCTAACATACCTTGATGTTGTAGATGGGGTGGATGTTCTTCATGGTGTCCATTACCACTTTGCGTACCTGTATAATAAAATAATTCTTCGTTCTGCGGTACTTTCATTACACTTAGAACTATAAAATATAAACTTTGCAGTGAATCAATTTATACTTGGTTGAGTGTGCCTTTTAGCAATATATCTAATGCTGCTAGAAATCTTCTTTATTTTACTATACAGGGGCAGTATATTGTAAGATAGACTTTTTTGAGCTTGTGATGACTTCCTGAAAGTAGAGTTTCAGAAAGAGCAGGAGTTTTAAAGAGACAGTGGCCCGATTTCTTTTAAGTTATATGCGACATTTGTAACTTAACATCAGAGTTACTTTATTGTTCTATATGCAAAGTGATACCATCTCTACGGAAAATACATAATACTGCCCTTTTAAGCCTCCGTTAACAGCAGAAATGTATCAGAATCAGTTTGTATGTATGTATGTAAATGTATCAGTTTGATGTATAAAACTATATTTTTGTTTAATTTAAACATTTGAGTTTTCCAAACATACTACAGACTTACAGCAGGCCACTGTGACACACTTACCTCTTTTAAGCCATTGTAGGGCCCCAGTGCTGACACAGTGTTACCCTGCACCATCACATAGCAGTTGGTTAACAACTCTAATGCCTAGAAAGCAAAAGAAAAAAAAAAGCACCATGAAAAAGATTATTTAATAAGTTAATATTTAAAAAAGTTGGTTACAGAATAATTTTTACATTGTAATACAATTATAACTGGTTAGCTGAATTGCAGAGGGGAAGAGAAATTCTGTAGCTAAAACACTCTGCTGCCACCTGGTGGAACTTTACTAATAATTCGCTTCCACTGATGAATGCATGTGTTTTACAAGAAAGATGTAGAATATATATATATATCGAGACAATATTTACATAAGCTAAACTTTTTATGCTGAATTAGCTCTGATGTAACAAGCTAAATTAGTTTTAGGTTTTACCTTTAAGGTGGAGCCCTTGGGGCCAATCAGCCGCTGCCTCCGCTTCACAAACCGCTCTCTGTTCCTCACCATAGTGCCGATTTTTATTATGTCACAGGCCACATCATCTTGTAATATGCGGACAGCCTGGAAACAAGCAGGATGACAGTGGAAGGTAATCCGTGTTTTCAGAGGGTGGTACAGGTTAGGGACTGTGTGAACCAGGTAGGTTGTGATAAACAGAGCAGAGGCCTTTACCTGCTCAAATGGGACGCTTCTTGCCAGCAGCTTAATGAGGTCTCTGGCTTTCAAAATGGCATACGGATCGAATGTCTTCTTGGTGGTGCTGACGGTGACACTTCCCTCGATCAAGTCCAGAGAAGCTTTGATGTGCTGAAAGAAACAAGATTTAGCAACATTTGGGAGTGGGCTGAAAACCCGGGCCCTGAAGCAATACCAATATGACTAATGAACTGGCATCTGATGAAACCTATAAGCAGGGGTGTCCAAAGTCGGTCCTCGAGGGCCGGCATCCTGCATGTTTAGTTCTTCCCCTAGTGGTAGTAACAACCTCCTCAGCAAGTGAATGTTCTCCTTAAGCCTTCTAACGAGCCATCGTTTGATGCAGGTGTGCTAAACCAGGGAGAAAACTAAAACATGCAGGATGCCGGCCACTCGAAGACCGACTTTGGATACCCCTGCCTATAAGACTTGAGCTTATTTTTATAATTTATTAAAAATAAAATCGTCCCAATTCCAATCCATGATCTCAGCTGTTCACGCTAAAGCCAACACATTTAATTTCAATCTGGAGTTAATATATTTTTAAATTGACTCTTTGTAGCAAAAGACAAAGCACTATTAGGTGTATGGTCACCATGTTTTTGGCAATACAGTGCAAAAATAAAAACTTCACACAAAAGTAAGATATTTCCATTAGTCATCTTGGAAGTTAAAATTTTCATTGAATATCCAATAAAAGCTCTGAAAAATGTAAATCGGTGGGATGACTGCGTGTACATACCAGGTCTCCCAGAGCTTTCTCCACCAGCGGCCAGCACTCTTTCAGGTAAGCTTCCCTGTATTTGGGGAACAGCGTGGCGAAGCTGCTCTCCTCCAGCAGCCCGCGGGGGTTGTCCTCTCTGGTGAACGCCGGCTCCTTCCACCCATCAGGAACAGTCAGGAGTTCAGATTCATCCACTGCGAGGCACACAAGAAATCGCATTCAGTGAAAGTATGTCACTACAAGTGACAAAAAGATTTAAAGCTTGTTGATACAAATTGCGCATCAGCCAATCACAACAACTCCATGCATTTCGGCATCTAAACACCTCGTCAAAGGTTCACCTAATAAAGTTACGAGTGTCGATGGAGTCCATTATATTTAAATCCTGTCAGAAGATCTGTAACAGACTTCTAGATTTTTTAATGAGTTTCATTGTCGCATTAACAACTTTACAATATGTAAACAGTTAACAGCACAGACAGAGCGAAGTCATTTCGTAAACCGACTGGAGTGGATTACAGCGTGCATCATGATGGGTAACGAATACGTCAACAAATTTGGAATAAAAATGTCTTCCGTAAACTTTTTTTTTTTTTTTGCTCCCTGCATTAGCAGCTAACAATCTGGAACTATGTAGGATCCAGAACTTACCTTGAACTTTGGCCTTTTTAGGGCTTTTAGCTGTTTGGGCTCCACTCATGCCGTCTTTAGCGGTGGAGGCCGCCATTGTTGAGAAACGGCGGAAGTGACGCAAATATTTGCTTCTTCCTGTAAACGTAACTGTTTACAGGAAGGACTGTTCATATTCATATTTCTAAATATAAAACGGAGATGTGTAACTTGACTGCCTTTTTTATATAAAAAGAATGCGTTATTTAAAAGAAAAAAAAAGACTTGGTTGTATATATAATAAAATGCGGATTTAACTGCGTTTTTATTTTTAATAATTGAAAAATAATTAGCTTCTATTTTTTTCTTTAGCATTGCCGCACCGCTCACCATAGTAGCAAATTGTTTTTTTTTTTATCAACTATGCATACTTACAGTATATAACATGAAAATATAAAACAAAAATTAGATTAAAGAGAATTGTCTATCGTCTTCATAAGGAGGTTATGGTTTTTACTTCAGTTTCAGAGTAAAGATCCCAGAACAGAAATTCAGACATTTAAAAGTAATTCAACTTCAAATAAACATTTTTCTGGCTTTTGTCTTATGTATTAATCAGACTTTTTTTTTTTTTACCCTTTATGAATCCTTACACTTTACTCCATTTTGTAAACTTTGGAGGTTTTTCCTTGACCAGTCACAGTGTGACAAGTATTTGAAAAATAAAAGACCTTTAAAATCACTGCCGT